CAGGAAATAAAGGTCAATATATGCTGGGGTGAGTGGGAGGGCAAGCTGCTGATCATAGGAGTGAACTGGTTCACTCACAGATGATCCTCAGAACTGAACCAGCTGAACCGGGCCAAACTGATAGAATATCACCACTGAACTGAGTTAAGCAAAATGACCAGGAGCAAGAGAAATGGGATTTACTCCTTATGGTTCTTTTTTAAAAAAAAAACTGTATTAAGAAATGCAAATGAATGAACTTGACAACACACTAGAGAGAATCTGAATGAACATAAATAGACAAACAAATAAAAACAATAGTGTTGTTGTAGCCTATTGTCAAGGGTACAGCCTACACTCCAGTTCAAAAAGAAATTGTGCATGATGCCTTCCAAAGTAAATGCAAAAATCAGCAAATGGAAAGGACAGTTTACAAAGGGAAGACGCTGACTAAGGAAGAACATGATTTATATTTATATTCCTGAATGCATGTCCAATAAAGAGCCAATATGGTATAGTGGTTAAGGCATCAGTCTAGAAATCTGGAGACAAGTTCCACTTTCATTTCAGGCATGAAGCCAGCTGGGTCTTAGCCCAATCACTCCATCACAGCCTAAGAAGCAGACAATAGCAAAACACTTCTGAAAAACCTTATCAAGAAATCTACAGGGCAGGGCAGGGTTAAAAAATGGCTCAAAAGCATAAAATATAAATAGATGTCCAAGAAGTGGTCAAGATCTGTTCTCTCCCTCATTCCAAATAGTAGAAGACACATTAATGAATTTAAATTATAGGAAGAGAGTTTCTGACAGAGAACAAAATCTCTCAACACCAAGAGAAATGTGACAATTATTCAGGGAGGCTGTGAATTCTTTTTCAAAGAATGTTTCAACACAGTTTACGCAGCCATCTGGATGCTTCAGTTTGAATTCTTGCACTGAACAGGATGTTGGACCTAGTGCCTTTCCAACTGGTCATCCACTGTATCATATACCCTTCAATGCCATGTAAGAGAATCTGTCAGAAAATAATCCCACTCCAATCAGTCATGTTAAAAGTATCTTCATCCAACCTGGGAACTTTCAAAATATTATGAATGGTACCAATCTCAAAGTAAAATATATAAAATATGTGATATGGTAGAAAATTTATGATTTAAAATAGTCTGTTTGTAAATTTTCCATGAAATTTGAATAAGAGTGTTAAGATACTGCTTTATTTTTAATTTATGTTGTCATAAGGATTCTAAATCACTATCTGGGAAAGGCCAAAAGTGCTACCGCCTTACTCTCTTCAGCCTTCAGAAATTGAACACAATTTTTTCAACAACAAAATCAAGATTTTAGGATTAATATTTATTTTGAAATAAATAAATATTAGGATTTATTTACCCTGAAAGAGTTCAAACCATCAAAGCAATAAGTTATTATTCCTTTCATTTCATTCAGTTTTCGATATTGTTAGTGTAGAATTACCAAGCTTAAATAAAGTAACATGCTAAGGAACAGCATCCCGTGGCATCTTGTCAAACATCTTTAAAAATTTGTCTTAACATCTCACTGAAATAAAAAAACACTCTACCTACTAGAAATCTTTAATGGATATGGGAATATCAGGGCAGAGAGTATCTGTCAGGAAAAACAACTTACTATATTTCATTTCACTGGTCTGATAGGCAAAAGATAAATTAAGGCTTTGACTTATTATATATTGAACAAGCCTTTACACCCTTTTATAAAATTATCTATTTCTGGAAATATCCTTGCATTGCATTATTCACTTTATCAGTTGAAGACAATATTTTTCTATGATTTTGGTTAAGAGTAGGCTACTAGCAGTTCCTGAGACCCTTTTTAAAAGCACTGGAACTTTCCCACTATTTTTAAGATTATTTAACCTTAGTTTTAGAAGATCCTAAAATATTTTCAGAAATGCTTGCCCTGTAGGATTAAAAGCTGTGTAGCATTCAAGGCTGCTCAAGTACTTATCACTGATTTATACCAATATTATACAGAAGATCTAAAGAGAAACTATACTAATGCAGCTTCACTAATAAAGGAGGGATCTGAATAAAATGGAGAACTATTCTTCTATTCAAACATATGCAGAAAACTCCAGCCCAAATATATAGAGATCAGGACAGAATGGTTTAAGGCCATTATTACTACCTGCCTAATTCAAAACCTTCCTATTAGTCTCTAGTCTGCCAATTTGAGGTAGGGGGCGGTCATCATTAATGTCTTTGTGTTGCATACACAAAGCTAATCAAGTAGAAAAGTATTGTCTGAAGTATTACCAGGATAGCCATCAAATGACTTTGGATATAATGGATCCAAATCCGGATGATTCTTTGAATAGAATCTAACTATTGTTGTGACTATCTATCGAGATTTTCCATCATCCAGGTCATGGTTGCCCCAAAGAGGCAACTGGATTTTCTTGTTTTTCTTTGAAGATGTTTTGCTTCTTATCCAAGAACCTTCTATAGCTCTGACTGGATGGTGGGGAGAGCTGGTCATTTGCAGCTCTCTCTTCTTTTAGAGCAGGGGTTTCAAACTCATGGCCTGTAAGCTGGATGCATCACATGCTGGGCCCACCCCTACCCAGTTTAGCGAAGGGGGGAAAAGTCCTGATATGTCATATGATGCCACGGTGTCAATGTAAGTTGGACGCCCTTGTTTTAGAGAGTCATTAAGGCCACTTTGAGGTTTATCTGTGTCCTCAGGATAACCTGAGTAGTGCGGGAACTGCTGGGAACTGCTGAAAAGACTGTGTTGTAAACTGAAGATAGATGATGTCGTATCTCTCCCCCTCTGTTAAGAGGGGGCTGTTCAGTTTTGACATAGATGGCCTCTTTGATCCTTCTTTCAAACCAGCTGTCCTCTTTGTCCAAAATGTGGCCTTTGTTGTTTTCAAAAGAGTGTCCTTTGTCTTTTAAATGCAGATGGACTGCTGAATCTTGTCTCGATGGGTTCTCTTATGTTTTGCCATGTGTTTATGAAGTGGTTGTTTTGTTTCCCCAATGTACAGATCTCTATATGTCTCATTGCATTGTACTACATATACCACATAGCTCAGTTTGTGTCTGGGGGCTTTATCCTTGGGGTAAGCTTCTGCCTTAGTGTATTCTTGGGTTTAAAGTGTGCCTGTCTGTTGTGTTGACTTAAGATTTTCCTGAGCTTTTCAGATATTTCTGCAATGTATGGAATGGCAACATTGCTTCATTTATTGTTTCCTTCTTTGTCTGTTATGGAGGAGCTCCTGCTGGATCTTTTGTGGTATCTGATGAAGGCCCAGTTGGGATAGCCACATGTTCTGAGGGCTTCCTTGATGTGTTTTAGTCCTCTGTGTTTCCCATCTTTGCTGGTAGGCAGCCCTTCAGCTCGGTGGTGTAGGTTTCTGTTAACTCCCACTTTGGAAGTTATTGTGAAGAAGTTTCTACCTCTTCCATGTAGAGATTAGCCACATGGGAGACACAGGTGAACCCATGGTGTAGCCATGCTTTTGCCTGTAGAAACCTTCATTGCATTTAAAATAGGTAACAGTCAGGCAGAGGTTCAGCATGGCACAGCATTCCACAGTCATACGATTGACATTTGCAATGCTTTATACTTGGCTTCCAAAACAGAAATCAATGACGGCGACAATAAAATCACAAATTTATTTATTTATTTATTTATTTATTTGATTTGCCAATTGTTTACAAGATAATAAGTATAAATGTATACATAGTTGTGAATACATGAAATGGTCACATACAAGAAAAATAAAAGAATAAGAGAAACAATAGGACAGGGACGGTAGGCACATTGGTGCGCTTATGCACGCCCCCTACAGACCTCTTAGGAAAGGGGTGAGGTCAATAGTAGACAGTCTAAGGTTAAAGTTTTTGGGGTTTGGGGAAGAAACTACAGAGTCGGGTAGAGTATTCCAGACATTGACCACTCTATTGCTGAAGTCGTATTTCCTGCAATCAAGTTTGGTGCGGTTTACTTTCAGTTTGTATCTATTGTGTGCTCTTGTGTTGTTATGGTTGAAGCTGAAGTATTCATTGACAGGTAGGACATTGCAATGTATGATTTTGTATACCATGCTTAAGTCAGACCGAAGACGGCGTAATTCAAGGTTTTCTAGTTCTAGAATTTCAAGTCTGGTGGCATAAGGTATTCTACAGCGAGTAGAGGAGTGGAGAACTCTTCTTCTGAAATATTTCTGGACTTTCTCAATTGTGCTAATATCAGATACGTAGTGAGGGTTCCAGACTGATGAACTGTATTCGAGTATTGGTCTAGCAAATGTTTTGTATGCTCTGGTTAGTAGTGTGATATTACCAGAGAAATTGCAATCATGTAATATCTTGCTTAAAGGAAGTGTCACTTAGTGACAAAGTTGCTGGTCTAATTGAGGTCATTAAACAAGGACTATTTGGTGGCTTTATTTGGCTTTGGCTGCAAGAAGACCAGTCACCGGGTTCTTTGAAACATTTTCTCTCAGTATATCTGACAGGTACTTTCTGAAGTACTGTATTTATCAAATTATATTCATGCCTCTAAAATACAGAAGGATTAGCACTCAAAGAATGCTATCTCTGTTTTTAACATGGGATTAGGGCTTTTTGAAAAAATAATAGACATAGGCTTAAAACAAACAAAAAACCCTTCAAAAACAGGAGAAATGTTCTCACCGCTACTTTGTTGAGGAAGAAATCATTATGAACTTGGGTTAAAATTTGTAGAATTGTTTAAAATATTCTGACACTGAAATCTTGTGATTTTTTTTTTTAAATCAGAACTAAATTCCTTTCAACTGGGCTTCCACAAAGTGCACTCTAGATTATACTTTGGGGAAAGTAGTTGGGTGGAAAGAATGTGTTTGTGTTGACATCCCTGCTTCTAAAGAATTAGAACAGCCCCAAATGACCATATAGAGTGTTATACAAATATTTCATCATATTAAAAAAATCAATTAAGGTTAATGAAGGTTTGTTTTAAAGGAAAATAGTAATTATTAGCTCTACATACCTCCACAATGAGCTCTCTGTGATACTTCCCAGGTTGTAGTCATACAACTTTGTCAGAATTAAAATCACCTACAGACACAAGGAGAAAATCTTGGTTAGTCTTCTAACAATTAGAATCTCATACCACTGATACAGCCCAGGGGAAAGATTAGGCTGCTGTTAATGGGTGCTTAATATAATTAAACAAATTGCTTAAGCATTTGCTTAACTGGCATGGGTACTGCCTGAACAAGTATCCATAACAAACAACATTTTCTTTGCAAGTGATAGTGAGGGGAGGGGGAGGGAGTAAGGGACAGACAGACAGACAGACAACTTGGTTTACCTATTGAACAAATTGAAATGGTATTAGTGTAAACCAGCACAGAGATTCTTAAGGCAGTGCTATTAGGGTTAATGGATCCAGCCTGAAAATAATACAGATGATGACAAGACACTAAAAAAGACAGTTTTCTATGTTTCTTTATTCTACCTGATTTTTTGTCTGGATTTTGTACCCCAGATGCTGTAGCTTTAAGAGCTCTGCGTAGATGAGTCTTGTTCAAAAATTAATGGGCAAAAATCATTCATTCTGGCAATTACTCCCTCCTAGAAACAAGTATTTTATAATACAATTGTACTAAACGAATTATAAAAATAATAATTCTAATCATAGACATGGAGATATTATGGTGTACAGACTGGCCTCACAGCATGAACTCATAACATTCCTAGACATAGATTAGGAAGGAAGGAAGGAAGGAAGGAAGGAAGGAAGGAAGGAAGGAAGGAAGGAAGGAAGGA